TTAAACAAGATATTTTACCTATAACCTAAATAACCAGCTAACGTTTTTCATTTTTATTGAAAAATTCATTTATGAATTTAACTAAATCCTAATTCAAGCTTTAATTATAGTTAATTAACAATTAAATTATTAAAATTATTAAAAAAAAACACCCCTCCCTCCCTCACCGCCAGCCACCTCTGCTTTACCCACCAACAGCTGCCCTCCCCAAACCCCCGGCCGCGACAGCCCAGCTACCCCGCCGGCCCATCGGCCGTTCCTACCTACTGTCGCCGTCGCCCTCCCCTTCCTCGAACCACTATCACCGAAACCCCATTCCCCTCCCCTCGAACCACCAACAAAATCCCCCTCCCTTCCCACAAAAAACCCACGAAACTCCCCCATCACCCTAGAAACCCCCAAATGCCCCTTTCCCAACCCTTGAAAACCCTAGCCGCTAGGGTTTCGGGGGTGAGGGAAGAGACGGTTGGAGGTTTTGGTGGGGGTTTCGTTGTATTACGTGGTGGGTTGGAGTTGGGGTAGGGATGTTAGGGTTGGTGTCGCCGGCGTAGGGGAGGGGGTTGGGGTGCTGACAGGGGGTCGCCGGAGGCCCGGACACCGGGGAAAGAGGATGTTGGCAGGGAGGGGAAGGGGTGGCTGGTAGGGGAGGGGGTTGATTTTTTCTTTTTTTTTTTTTAAATAATTATATTAATAACATAATAAAAATAAACATTAAAAACATTAAAAAAAATAAAAAAAATAAATTAAAATGTCAAACCAATAGAATAACGACACATGTCCAATATACCTACTAATCAGGCCACCAACCGGTTATAACCTGTTTATAGTGAATACTCCCCAAAAGTTGTGTTATTCAGAAATAATTAAAATATTGACTTGTTTTTGGCAGAGCGCTCAAAGTTTGTATTATTTTTGACAATTTTTCTAATAAACTAAAGAATGTTTAATATATCATTTCTTTGCTACGTAAAATGAAACAAATCCAACCCTTTAAATAAGCTAAGGACGATAAAACTACTTAAGGTAAAGATCGAGTAATCTTTACGAGTTTGGATGTCAGATAAATAGCAATCTGATAGAGTGGAAGTCGTAGTCAATGCAAAGACGATTTCCAAGATAATACGGAGTACTAATGTTTTTTTTTGTACAAGTTGACATGGTCAATTGGAGGACATTGTCAAATTAAGAGAGTTGATAAAGTGATGTATGTGCTCCATTGAATGTAAGTCGGTGATATTGTTCATCGACAAGATCGAGTTATTGAGGAGAAATGCATCAAAAAAACAATGTCAGGTTTGGTTGTGCGGAGGGAGGTGCTCCGACAATAGTATGTTGGTGATGATGTGCATCAACAAAATTGTGTAGGTGATGAGATGTGCATCACAAGTTAAAACGTCTAGCAAGATGTTATGAAATTCGAAGAAGAAGATAGAAGGGTTTTCTAAAGTCGAGTGTGTGGTTAAGTGTTCAGTTGAGATCAAAGTACGTCAAGTTCAATTTGAAGTCCATGGCAATATGGAATGTTGAAGTTAGTAGCAAAGTTTTGTCAAGTGTATGAGACTTTGAATCTAGGGGAAAATAAAGATAGTGGCTAATTATGTGGAGTTTGTTTTGATCAGTTTAGCCATAGTGGATTAAGCTTTAGCAGAGTAGTGGTTTCCTTATTGTTTAGGAGTGATAGTTTTATCCTTAGCTTATTTAAAGGGTTGGATGCATTTCATTTTACGTAGCAAAGCAATAATTTATTAAATGTTCTTTAATTTTGCTCATTCATCTTATTCTTTCCCTTCTCCTTTCTGCCTTTTTCGAATCTAACCTGACGCTCAGCTCTGATACCATGTTAATTTTTTAAAGAAAAAAATATTTCATTATATTAAATATGAAAGAAGCCTAGGCAACAAACAAACTAACTCATCAAGCTAAAATAAAGGAAATAAAAGTGGGATAGATCATGGCCCACAAAACATACGACTATGCTAATACTTTGAAAATGGATTCTAGGATTCCTAACTAAAAGACCACTGACAAATAACATGTTCCAATCCTACACTATAGGAACTACTTTGAATCAATCCAACATATATAAAAAAGACAAAATTTGTTTTTTTTTTTTTTAACAGTATTAAAAAATATATATATATAAAAAAAAAAAATAAAAAAAAAAAAAAAAAAAAAAAAAACTTTTATCTAATAACACCACAGGAAAAAAATAAAATGGGATTTTAACACCTGTTAACAGCTTTCGTCATCAAAGTCCTTGTTAACTTTTACCCCACTAAAATAAATATAAACCCACCAAAATCTAAACCTTCACTACATTCCATCACACCTCACGCACACAAGCCGCCACCAGTGCAGTTGTGCTCGCCAACTAAAGCCACTACCATCGCCTCGCTATGCTTGCCAAAACCACCACCATCGCATCGCCTCGCGCCGAACCACTAGTAAAAACCCACATCGCTAAAAATATAAAAGTTAGGGTTCATTTTCAAATTAAATTGGTGGTTTTTTTGTGTTAAGCATTTGAACCAATTTAAACATACTATAAGATAATTAAAGTTGTCTTCAAAAAAAAAAAAAGATAATTAAAGTGCCGCTCATTAATACTTCTTAATTCTTAAAGAAACCCCATTATTATAGTTGAGGAGCAAAACAAAGGAGAGAGAAATTTGGTGTTTTTTAAAAAAAAAAAAAATTTAAGGTTGAAAAGAGGATGAAATTTAAAAAGGTGATTGAATGGATGGATGAAGGTAGAAAGAAAAGTGATAATAGAGGTTGAAAGGTGGTGTTAATGGAGGTTGAAGAATTTGTGGAGAAGAAGGGGGAAAATGGAAGGGATGAACCCCATTAACGGATTTTGTGACGGAATTTATTAAGTGGTGGTAAAATCCAATTTTATTTATTTATTTTTTTTTTATTTATTTTTTTTTTAACTTTTTGTGGTGTTAAAATAATTTTTTTAACAGTGTTAAAAAATAAATTATGTCTTATCTTCCATTATGTTAAAAGTCAAAATTTCTATTATATCTATTAAAATTTAAATTCAGTATTGGTAACATAAAACATAATAGAAAATAAATGAACGGTAAAAATAAGTTTCAATCTATAATTTGAAGTTTTATTGAGTAATACTCCGTATATAATGCTCATAGTCAAATTAGTAACATAATGATGAAATTGAAAAGAAAAGGAGAAGTACGTGGAGGATTTGCTTCTTATCTTGTCTTATTATCCTCAATCAAATTTAGAAATGAACCATTGAACATGGAGACCATCAAGGAGACAATCTGCATGATACTAAAAAAATATACTACGTATATTGTATATAGAGCATGCATGCATATTTATCCTACTTTACCATTAGAAATTAGAAACACGAATACCGGAGACAACTTTTACAAATCACATGCCGTACTAAGGAAGTTCCAACTTAATTAAAAATTATAAATCAAGCAATATCCCACGTGTATTATATTTAAAAGTACGCTGTTGTTATTTGGTCAATGTTTAGTTGAACACATATTAAAAGCGTAAAAAAATTTCTAGAATGAAGGTAGTATATGCGAAGTGTTATAGAAGTTGATACAGTGAGGGTATATAATGAAACGTGATCCCACTTGTTTTTTTCATACGTTATATCATAATCACATATGATAAAAAAAGATTCAACATAAATTAGGAAAAGTAATAAAAAAATATGGGTAGAGCAAACATGAGAATATTGTATTACCCCCGTTTCATAATAATCGCAAACTTTTGCACTATTCATATATTTACTTTGTGGATTAGTCAATTCATTTATCTCATTAGACCGACATACATAATTACAAACATTAATGATCAAAGTTGTGCGTTGGCACATGTGCCTGTCAAATTGTTATGCTTATTATGAAGAGAGTATGATTATAGTGCACTGTCATAAGAATCGTATAATTATATATATGGATTCAAGAAAAAATTGGCATCTTAAGCCTCACATGCAGTCTATAAATACGGTGAAATGAGACAACAACTTTATATTTTGAATAGAGGTGGCCTGGTGATAATGTACAGTATAATCCATTTTTTTAAGAGATGTAAAGTGCACTTTGTATTACAAGCATACATACATCAGATTTTGTACTATTAACTACAATATTGAAAAAAAAAAAAAAAAATTCTTTTGTAAAAGTATTTTAGTTATGTTTTTAATTTTGAATAATATATAAATTAGTTGAACAGGGTTCTTTAGTTAAATAGCAATATTAGAGACATTGATACTAAAGAGTCTAGTATTTGAAAGTTCCAATACTAAGTAATTTTGTTGTTTTGAAGTCTATCTTTAGTATCGGAAATTTCCAATACTAAAGGGACTTTCAGAAGCTAGGAAAAACTACTGTAACAGTAATTTCAGATACTATATTGATTGTTTAGTATCGGAAACCAATTTGATACTAAGGATCTAACTCTTTAGTATCAATTATTTCCGACACCATATACATAAATAATAATGGAAGATTTTTGATACCATATGATATGATAGTTGTATCAGAATTCCGGTTACTAATTATCTGATACTAATTAATGATATTTCTGATACTAAAGGGACCCTTTTTTAGTATCGGTTTGAAGAATCGATACCAACACATTAGCCACGGAGGTATTAGTATCGGTTTAGTGTCAGAAATTATTTCCGATACTAATGGCCTTTGGTATCGGAAAACAACCCTTTTACTATCGATTAATTTCCGATACTAAAGACCAATTTTCCAATAGTTAAAGTGAGGAAATTTCAGCCCAAAGCAGCCTCGTTAGTCACTAGTTAAGGGTTTGAAGTAAGAGTTTTACCAAGTTAGCCAAAGTATATATATTGTATTATGGAATTGCACGCCATAAGGATCCACCAACACATGGTGAGGTACGTATAGCAAAGTTAGAAGCTAGCACCTTAATTAATTAGTATTGTTATATAATTATATTTATGGATTCAAGAAAATGTGGCATCTTAAGTCTTAAGTCTCACATGCCATGCAGTCTATAAATACGGTGAAATGAGAAGCTTTTTTCAATGCACTACAATTAACAAGCTCTTTTACTCAAACTTAATAGCAGGCATTACTCAAGGGTATGCTATATACTACTCCCTTCACTTAAATCAAAGTTACTTTTTATTATTAATCGATAGATACTAGTAGATTATATCATCAATTTATTTTATTATTAAGTATTTGATTTATATTTGATTATTGTTTTAAGTGTTGTTAGTAATTCACGCACGTACGGTTTTGCAGGATAGAAGACGGTACTACGTACGATAAGCAAGAGAGAAACATGGCAGGCATCGAACCAAACGTTGTGAATTTGCAGGATCCAGCAGCTCACTATGAGAAGCTGGTGACGGAGTTGGAGGTCAAGGGTCAGGCCGAGGCCAATAATGCTCAGCTACTCGCTGGAGATGTGGAATTGACCAGCCCTACCACAAACTTTACCGATAGCAAGCTCACAAAACTCGACGTTCATTTTTGGTCTGGATATACGCTCACTAGCTTCCCTGATATGAATAGATTCACAACTTACTATTTTAGGGAGAAAGGCCCTCTTCCTCAAGGTGTCAAGTGGGGCTATTGCTACGCTTCTGGTACCGACTCCACTGCTCGTAAGTGGGTTGCGGCTTTTGATTCCGCTGCTGGCAAGGTACATTATACTACTAGCTACTACTTGAACATCTAATAATAAGTATATATCATAAATTCATAACGATGTTACTTACGTTGTCAATGATGTACTAACCTATTTTTTTTCCAATTAAATGTATTTCAGGCTTATTGTGAAGCCGGGCCTACAGGCCCAGTTGACTGGAACGTAGTTGAAGTTAAGTTGAATGCGTCTGGAAGCAGTTGCGAGTATGTTGACCCTATTCTTGGAGGCAGGATCACTGCTAAGATTACTGGTCTCCAAGCAATATCAACTCTCTATTAGCTACCATGTTAGCTTAATTAGTAAGCTGCATTGCTGCTGCAATTAATCAAGAACTACAATCCTTTACATTCCTTGCTTTTTAATTAAGTGCATTTTAATTGTGTAATAAAAGTAATGATGCTACTATGCATCTAGTATCCTAATAATGTACGGTTGTTTATGGTTGTAATGTATATGTCACCCAATAGACAATCTATATATATATGGAATAAACTGTTTCAATTTACTTTTTTTGTTTTTATACAAGAACTGTTTTAATTTACTTGGTATTTTATTAGATACTAAAATTGTTAACTGGAATTTTATGTCATTTTTATATCCTCCATGTACTACTCTCCCAATTTACATGAATCTCTGTTTAAGTCATTTATTTAATTACATGCTACAAAATGAGCAAAGTGATTACAAATATTTCTGTATAAATCACAACTTTTATTTGAACATAACAAACTTACTCTATTAATTTGTCATCTTGAACATTTTCATAAAAAGTTCTGAACATAAACTTGATAAAAGGGAAGGTTGTAACATATGGCAATTAGTAAGATAAGTAATACAATATAAAAACTCTTGCTTAAATCCAAATAAATTAGAGCTAACGATGTCAAGAACTAAATTTAGTGACAATTTTTTATAGGAAAAATTGAGTCTAATAATCCCATCTTTAGTCGCTTCGCTGTTAATAATCCCACCTTTAGATTTTTATTTAATAATGCCATCTTTATAGGGGATTTTCATCTATTGGTCCCTTATGACCGGTAACCTGTACATTGGGTAAACTTTTTTTTTTTAATTTAAGTGACACATGGCACTAAATAATTCGTCAAAAAATTAATAATAAAAAAAAACTTAAAAAAATTTGGTAAAAAAAAAAAACCCTAATAATTTTTTTTATCCCCAACGACCACCGAACCCCCAACCTCCGGCAGCCCCTCCTCGGCTCCTCCCCATCTCCACTGCTGGAACCCCCATCCCCAATACCGCCAGAACTCCCATTTCTACCGCCGGAACACCCATTTCCACCCCCTCCTAGCAAAAACCGACCCAGCTCCCCCTAAAACCACCCCGATTTTCAATAAAAAAAAGTAAAAATAAAAAATAACCTTCAAGAGCGGTTCGAGGGGGTTTTCGATGGAGTTTAGGGGGTGTATGGGGGTTTTTCGATGGAGTTTCGGGGGTTTATGGCGGTTTTCGGCGGAGTTTCGGGGGTATTTGGTTGTGGTGGTTTCAAGTGTGGGTTTGGGTCAGGGGTTGATTTCGGTGGTGGATTTGATCGGTGGGGTGGTTTTTGATTCCGGCCAGCCGTTTTCGGGGGTTTATGGTGGAAGTTGGCGGGTATTCGGTGGGGCTAGGGTAAGGGTTAAGGTATCCTAATAATGTACGGTTGTTTATGGTTGTAATGTATATGTCACCCAATAGACAATCTATATATATATGGAATAAACTGTTTCAATTTACTTTTTTTTTTTTATACAAGAACTGTTTTAATTTACTTGGTATTTTATTAGATACTAAAATTGTTAACTGGAATTTTATGTCATTTTTATATCCTCCATGTACTACTCTCCCGATTTACATGAATCTCTGTTTAAGTCATTTATTTAATTACATGCTACAAAATGAGCAAAGTGATTACAAATATTACTGTATAAATCACAACTTTTATTTGGACATAATAAACTTACTCTGTTAATTTGTCATCTTGAACATTTTCATAAAAAGTTCTGAACATAAATTTGATAAAAGGGAAGGTTGTAACATATGGCAATTAGTAAGACAAGTAATACAATATAGAAACTCTTGCTTAAATCCAAATAAATTAGAGCTAACGATGTCAAGAACTAAATTTAGTGACAATTTTTTATAAAGAGTCCCTGATTATATCATTTTACTTTCCTCCTCTACAAAAGAATTTGCCCTTAAATTCAAATCAATTATATTACAATAAGGCCAGTTGGTAAGTCTACATTCTCCGACATTTTATATACTCCCTCTGTTTTTTAATATTTGTATCACTTTGACCGGCACATTTATCAAGACATTATTATTACCGGTCCAAATGCAACTAATCTTGATATGTTTATTAAGACTTTGGCAAACAGGTTCTCTTTGAAGGATTTGGGACAACTATCTTAATTCCTTGGTGTTGAAGTCATTCCAACATCAACTGGCTTATTTTTAAGTCAACAAAGGTACATCATTGATCTTCTTGAGAAGATGGGAATGCTAGAAGCCAAGCCAGCACCCACCCTCATGGTCATTACTCATACATTAATGGCCAACTCAGGTGTTGTTCTTGAAGAGCCCAAGGATTATAGAGCTGCTGTTGGTAGTCTTCAATACCTCACTCTAACTAGGCCGGATGTCACCTTTGCCGTAAATAAACTATCTCAATTTATGCATCGACCAACAACGGAACACTGGTCAGCACTCAAACGCCTCCTACGCTACCTCAATAGCACACTTGACAAAGGCATAAACATATACAAAGATTCACCTCCTATACTACATGCCTTCTCTGATGCGGATTGGGCGGGTGATAAGGATGATTTTTTTCAACAATGGGTCATGTAGTCTTTCTTGGCCGCACCCCAATTACTTGGTGCTTTAAGAAACAAAAGTCCCTAGCTCGATCATCCACCGAAGCAGAGTATAGGGCCATTGCTCACACCACCGCAGAATTAATGTGGGTACAAAATCTAGTCACTGAAATGAAAATTAAAATATCAAACACTCCAGTCATCTATTGTGACAACTTAAGTGCTACTTACTTAAGTGCAAACCCGGTGTTTCATTCTAAAATGAAACATTTTGCACTAGCATTCTACTTCATCCGTGAACAAGTCCAAAAGGGTGCTCTTCGTGTCACTCATGTTTCAACCGGTGATCAACTAACGGACTTCCTTACAAAACCACTCTCCAGACCAAGGTTGGACACATTACTCATCAAGATCGGACTTTTCGATCCGCCGTCCATCGACTTAGTGCCAGGGATAGGACCTATTTCAAAGGCTCCATATAGGATGGCCCAGGCTGAGATGAAAGAGTTGAAGACTCAATTAGATGACTTATTGGAGAAAGGTTATATTCGGCCTAGTTCATCACCATAGGGTGCACCAGTTTTGTTCGTGAAGAAGAAAGATGGAAGCTTGAGGTTGTGCATAGATTACCGAGAGTTGAACAATGTGACAGTCAAGAACTAGTACCCGCTGCCTAGGATTGATGATATGTTCGACCAGTTGAAAGGGGCAAGAATATTTTCGAAGATCGATTTGAGGTCTAGGTATCATCAGTTGAGGATAGCAGAGTCGGACATTCCAAAGAGTGCTTTTAGGACACGTTATGGTCGCTATGAATTCACTGTAATGCCATTTGGGTTAACTAATGCACTTGCGGTTTTTATGCATTTAATGCACCAAATTTTTAGGCCATACTTGGACAAGTTTGTTGTGGTATTTATTGATGATATTTTGGTATATTCGAAGAACCGGGATGAGCATAAGGATCATTTCAGGACGGTATTTTCAACCTTGAGAGAACATCAATTATATGTCAAACTCTGCGGGGGTATGTAGAGAATAATATCACATCGTGATATTAATCTTGATATGCAAATCACGGGCTAGCTAATATCACTCCATTTCCTTGATTGAGAGTATACTATCTTTTATATTTGTAAAGTATATATTATCTTTGACTTTGTAATTGATTCTCTTATTGTATAGCTTACGTGATTAGTGCCTTAGGCTTGTAATATGTATAGCATGTAATTTTTCTTATGAAATACAATTCCACCTACTCTTACACTTACAATTACGCATTAATCATTTGGAATTTAGATGCATAGAAGCATCATAATTATTTGTTACACAAGAGTACTTGAAGTAAAAAGGAAAGTAACAAGGAAGCTAGTTCATGATTGGCAGCTAACGCAATACATCAAATTAAATTCGTAGTGCAACACATATTATTCCATAGTAGATAGATTTCATTATATCTCAGCAAGCTCTAACATTCAGCGGAAATGTGCATATGCCTTGAGACCATCAATCGTAGCAAGTACGTTACCTCCAAGGATGGGGTCAGTGTGCTCGGTTTTGCTTCCGGACATACCCAGTTTCACTTCAACTACGTTCCAATCAACTGGACCCATTGGTCCTGCTTCAGCATAAGCCTGAAATTTTAATTTGCAAAAAATGGTTAATATAGAACACTATACTCTAATAAACATCACTAAGATTTTATATATATTAAAAAGTTACTTCTTAGGAAGGGACTGAAACCTAACTACCCAAAACAACCACAAAATGAAATTGCGCGAGGAGTGTATATATATATACCTTGCCAGCAGCAGTATCAAAAGCCACAATCCACTTACGAGCAGTGGTGTCATCAGCGGCACCATTAGCCCAGACTTGGCCCCATTTGACGCCTTCAGGCTTGGTGCCTTTCTGGGTAAGAACGGTGTAATAGCCGCTACTAAGAGTCGGGCGATCAGTGACCACAGAGCCAGACCAAAAATGCCTATCAATTCTTTGTATTTTGTCCTTGCAAAGGTTTAAGAATTGTGTGTTCAATAACACTTGATCAGCACTTAACCCTACATTATCCTCGCCGTTCACCTTGGCATCCAACTCCGCTTTCAAACTCTCGTAATCAGCCTCCGGATTCACCAAGGGCACTTCTTCGGCTGTGATCAAATCCGTCATAATTTCTTGTGCTTACTTTGTACTTTAAATGCAATGACAACATATATATGTTACGTTAATATGCATGTTCGTTAATTTAAGATGGATAGAAGCGTAGGAGATATATAGTTCTACGATATTCAATTTAATTTTTTTGCTTATTATCTAGCATTGATATTAAATTACTAATATTATGAAACGTTATGAAGAGAGTATATATATAGTATTGTGAACAAACAAAACGTTACTATTAAAAAAGAACGAATAAGGGTGTAATTTTCCGTCGTTGACCCACCACAAAATACCCCAAATTAACGAGAAAAGCAATAAAGAAGATCCTCTATTTAATAAGGGTGTAATTTATTTAGGAAATATCTTAAAGTTTTATTCAACGTCCGGCCACGTTCGTTAGCAAGATCCTATATTTAATCACGTGTAACAAAAATATGCAAAAACTCGTACTTTGAATTGAATTTGAAATAAAACTAAGACCACAAACGAATATAACATCTCATGCATGACTATGTTTTCAAGTGAATATACTCCGTATATTTTTATCTTTAAAGTATTAGCTAATTCCTCTTTCAATGGACACCCTCACAATTGCAAATTATCCTATAATAATAATAAAATAAAATAAAATAAAATAGAGGGAGTATTATGATTTCGAAGGGAGGGAGAGGAAAATAATATAAAGATCGAAGAGAGTAGTACCCTTAATGAGTATTGCCTGCTAAGTTTGAGGATTAGAGGGAATAGTGCTTGTTATTGTACTGTATTAGCTTTATAAATTTCAGTATTTATAGAGAGGCCTAGACTTTATCAAGATCGGACAAAGATGCATGATGTAGTGTATGAATTTTAAATTAAGCAATCAAACATAAAAGATAAGTTAAACTATAACAGCGACAATTTGATAAATATCAACGCATTCAAAGGGCTAATTTCAGATTTCTTGGAATCTGCAAGTTCTGATATTGATTCATACTTGTTTGTATAAAATAAATGTACATAATATCTTCTTCAACGATATGCATGTTATCAACTAAGGACATTTCTAATATAATCATATCCAAAGTCTATTAATATTTGTAATACTTTTAGCAATAATCGGCATATACAAGGCTCATTAAGTTATTATTATTCACTCATAATAATGAATTGAAGATATGATAAGAAGAGAGACACGTGTGCTCTGACCTTGAGCCACGAGGCATGTGTTAAATGTAGTCCACGTTGAGTTATTTTCTCAGTTAAAAATTATTATTAAAATTAGAAGGATATTATTCTCATAATCATAGTTGTTAAAATCCCGATTCGGATCTTACGATCTTACGATTTTAAGATCCAAAATTGCGTGATCGATGCGGATCTTTGGCAGGATCTTAAGTTTGCAGAATCTTACAATCCTACTCCGATATTAATTATGATTGGTAGGATTTCAACACAATCCTACGATTTTACTACGATCCTACGATCCGATCCAACATTTTACTATAATACGAGACTTTGATTTATTTCGACATATTTTTTTATTACTCATTAGGTTATATGCACCTAAGTTTAATGTATTCAATAATTATCGCTAATAAATTAGCGAATCTGAGACATTAATATTATTTTATCAATTGACAACTTGCAATTGTCATAGTTAAGGTCTCATTCTTGACAAATTTGCACATAATTTATCAATTTAAACTTGTGTTATTAATATTCTAACTACCATACAGACAAAGCTAAATGAAGATCGACCTTTCTTAAGCAAACCAATATCTTTTAGCATTGAAATCCCTTAGAAGAAATGTTTTTAAGTCAATTTATAACATAATATATAATATTATTCGTTATTAAGTAGGATCTTACGATCCTACGATTCGATTCTATCGATTCGATCCCACCCCCCATCGATCCAAGGTAGGATCCCAATCCTAACAACCTTGCTCGTAATAATGAAGACAGTTAATTTTTTATTCATACTATAATTGATCAAAGGTCCATTATAGAAGTCCTCAAAAAAAAAGGTCCATTATAGAAACATATGACTGAGAATTGCAGGACAAAATTAATAAAACCTAATAAAATTCTTTCGTACAGCCGGTTTACACTAACCTTAATGTAAGGCCAGATTCGCACGTGCCAATTAGAGTATAAATAGCGCTCAATGTGCCGCAAGCAAAACATCGTCTTCTTCGAAATATTCTCACAAGTTCTCTGCAAATTCTCTGCAAAACATCGATGGATTCCCTAATTCACAAATTATTACAATCTCAAAAACAAACTCAAGCTCCAATTTCAAACGATTCGCAAACTTCAGAAGAAATTGAAATTGATTCTGTAATTGATGTTGATTTAAACAACGATTCTATGCAACAAACCCTAAATTGCAGGCAATGTGGCAATAATATTGACCTAAATTGCGAAATTGATGACAATGCAATGCATCAAAACCTCAATTCAGGTACGTAATTTTGTATATGAATTTGTACAAATTTACCAAAAATAGGTAAACTGGTGATTGAATGAATTACAATCAATGCAGATTCATATGAGAGTAGAGTTCATCTCGATGAAGAACAAATCTCAGCTGATGAAGTGCAAATCTCGGTGGATGAAGAGCAAATCTCAGCGGATGAAGATTCAACTTCTGAAGGTAACATTAAGCTTTTGAACAGTTGCAGAATTGTTCAAAATCAGGAACCTCTTCCGTCATTTGAGAGTTGTTGCTCTCGATTGAAGCTAGCTGAACGAACCATCAAAAATCGTTTGGCCAAGGAGAATATTTCCGGCAGCCACACCTCCTCTAACTCCACCGCTCTCGTCGCTTCTACTGACGGCAGTGACTCTTCATCATCATCTTGCCAAAGTTCAAAGAGCAACATGTAGAAAAAGAACTCCGTTAAGAATTCAAGTAGGGGCCGCACTAATTCTTTAAATGGGGCTTCGGCCCAACAGCAATCCGGTTTAGTTCCATTTAATTGGCAGCAGCAACCGTGGGCTGCTTGGGCTCCATGGCTTGCACAATGGCCCAATCCTCCTCCGTGCCCATATCCGGCATCCTCTTGCGAACCAAGGGCTGCTTCTGCTCCGAACAATGGGCCTCGGCCTGCTGGGCCTGGCATCCTAGGCTTTAGACCTCAGGCATACAATGCTATAGGACCTTCTAGCTATACTCTGACGGATGTTGAAGCGGCTATGAGTGCTCTCGCATTTCCCCCACCGGACAGTAGTTACTACTTGGACACCGGTGCCACATCTCATATGACTTCGAATCAAGGTATTCTCTCTTCCTATGTCAATTCGAGCATTCCTCATAATAACATTGTTGTTGGTAGTGGTCATTTAATTCCGATAGTTGGTCATGGTAGTAATACTTTGTCTTACCCCTACCCACCTTTCACCTTAAGTAATGTTTTGCATGCTCCTTAATTGATCAAAAACCTTATTTCCGTCCGTAAATTCACCACTGAACATAATGTTTCCGTTGAATTTGACCCGTTTGGTTTTGCTGTGAATGATTTACAAACGGGAACCAAACTTGTGAGATGTGACAGTTCGGGTGATCTATACCCTCTTTTCTCCAACTCACAAGCCAATCCTAAAGTCAATCACTCTACTCTTACTACTAGCTCTTCCGATTTTTGGTCGCTTGCGTCATCCTGGTGATGCCGTTCTTAGGTCTCTAAGTAGTAAAAAGTTTATTGATTGTAATAAGGCTTGTACTTCTTTTTGTTCTTCTTGTCCTTTAGGGAAATAATCTAAATTACCTTTTAATGATTCTATGTCACATACTTTTTTCCGTTTGACATTATTCATAGTGATCTTTGGACATCTCCTATATTAAGTTCTTCCGGCCATCGTTATTATGTTTTATTTCTTGATGATTATAGCAAATTTTTATGGATATTTCCTATTGGCAAAAATTCTCAAGTTAAACACTTGTTCAAATCTTTTCACTCGGTTGTCCGTACTCAATTTGAACGTAACATTAAGACTTTTCAATGTGACAATGGCACTGAGTATATCAATGGAACTTTAAAGGAATTTTTTGATCACCATGGTATGTTGTTTCGGCTTTCTTGTCCTCACACCTCTCCCCAAAATGGAAAAGCATAATGTCACATAAAATCAATAAATAACATCATTCGGACTTTACTTGCTCATGCCTCTTTACCCCTTTCATTTTAGCACCATGCTTTCGAAGTGGCTACGTACTTGTTAAACATTCTTCCCACCAAAGTTATAGAATTTAAGTCACCCACTCAAATTCTCTATCACCGTAATCCCATCTACTTGATTTTACGTGTCTTTGGTTTTCTTTGTTTTCCTCTTTTTCCATGCACTTCTATACATAAATTGCAACAAAGGTCCACTCATGTGTCTATCTAGGTCCCGCTTCTAATCATCGTGGCTCTAAGTGTTACGATATGTCAAATGGTCAAATTCTAATTTGTCGTCATGTAAAATTTGTTGAAACTAAGTTCCCTTTCTCCAAACTTCACACACCTCAAAAAGAGGATTATAATATTTTTTTATTATAGTCCAACTCTCCTCCATTTGCAATCCCAACACGTCACATCTACTCCACCCATCACTTGTGCAGCAGAGGCAGCAGGAGTATCACCCGCAGCTCGGCCATCGAGCGTTGGGTTGTTGCGAGACCCCCCCCCCCTATGCTACTGCCTGGCGCAATGGAAATCAAGCGCCCACTGGGTCGGCATCCACGCCATCCTCCCCCAGCAGGCCTCGCTCCCCCCTGACTGTCACACTCTCCCCCTCTACCACCTCGCAGCTTACCCCACACACTCATACCCCTGAGTTGCGCACTGCCCAACCAAGCACCTACACCCACCTAGCCCCACAAAATTCTGAACCACAAAGCATCCAACCCCAGCCCATACTCAACACCCATAGTATGACTACAAGAGCAAAACATGGCATCTGCAAGCCAAATTCCAAATATTTTCATAACTTAAACACTATGACTACCCCTAACATATCTCCTATACCAAAGGACCCTATTAGTTCTATTCATGACCCGAATTGGGAAAATGCAATGTTGGATGAATATAATGCTCTTATTGCTAATAATACATGGGAATTGGTACCTAGGCCACCGGATGTTAATGTTATTAGGTCCATGTGGATTTTTCACCATAAACGTCTCTCTGATGGGTCGTTTGAAAGGCATAAAGTCAGGCTTGTAGGTGACGGGAAAACTCAGAGGCAAGGTATTGATTGTGATGAAACTTTTAGTCTAGTTATCAAACTGGCAACTATTCATACTGCATGTCCTTAGCCTTGCTATTTTGAAGTCTTGGCCCATTCATCAGTTAGATGTCAAGAATGCTTTTTTTACATGGGTATCTCAATAAAACAGTCTATATGCATCAACCCATAGGGTTCATGATAAGAGTCGTCCTGATCATGTTTATTTATTTAAGAAATCCCTCTACGGCCTCAAACAGGCTCCACGAGCCTGGTATCAACGTTTCGCAGATTTTGTTGCTACTATTGGTTTTTCTAATTGTAAATCTGAAAACTCTGTGTTCATTTAAAGACAGGATTCTGATATGGCTTATATTTTGTTATATGTTGACGATATAATTCTTACAACATCTTCTGATCATCTTCGGCAGCAGTTTATGACTCTTTTGGGTAATGAATTTGCCATGAAAGATTTGGGTCCCCTGAGTTTCTTCTTAGGGATT